ACATAATGGCTGTCTAGCACTCTTCACACGTGTTATAATATTGTGGGTAGATATCAATGACTCATTCACTGTTTGCCTTAACAGAAGTTGCAGCATTACTAATGGGAATGTTTCAGCTGAAAGGAGACAAGGAATATGATTCAGAGGTCTGTTATCCTCCTTTACCTTAAGGCATAAATGAAGTTTATGGTACAGCAAACACATCAACGGCCTACTGAGATACATTAAAATGCACTGACTGTAACTGCTAATACTGCTTATATTCTAGTGTCTATCTGCAAGTTAATGTCTGAAGCAGTGGAACAAAAATCAGATTATCTACTGCATCAGAAAACCTACATTTTTGAGTAATTTCATTATCACGCCAGAAGCTTTTGTTTTCAGTCCAAACAGTCTGAACAGTTGTCCAAACAGGAAAACTTAGAAATACAAACATGCAAGATAGAACTGCATTAATAAATCGTGGCACTTAACACTGAAACTCCACCTTGCTATGGTCATGGATTTAATTGCTTTTCCTTGGGCATTTGTGTGCCTAGGAATAAGGGTATGCCACCCCATGCCATTTTGGGGGGAACTGGCTTGGGACAAGGTTCAAGTGTCATGAGCTGGCAGGGCATGGGGCCCCACTCCTCATTCATAAAGGACCTGATTTCTTTCTGATCAAGAGCTGTATGTAGGTGGACATCTAGGAGAATGTGCAGTACAGAAGCTGCAGGAAAAAGGCCAGAGTCCCCTAATAGCTGTGAGCAGATAACTCTTCCCCCAGCTTGGAGTTGGAAGGACTGAGACAACGGTGAGATTGCAGAAACAAGCTACAGCCCAGCTGAGGAACACTTAGGGGTCCTAACAACCCTCCAAAAAGGGCAATAATGGAAGAAATCCCAACCTGTATCCTCCCTGCGCAGTTACTGCCCAAGGCCCACAAGAGAAGAATGTTGATGGAGTTGCACACTGGTTAAACAGCCCTCACATTTCCCCTCCCTTCCTGTGTGCCCAAACAGAGTAAGTTTTATCTGCTCTACACACAAAATACGCCTTGCCATAATTATTTAGTATGAGTCACTGTGTAGTAAAGTGGCAGCCTTTATGATAATCCCTTATAACACAGACCTTTGCAGGAGAGATGTGCTAATCTTTGGCATCTTAAAAGTATAAGCTTAAATTCTAAACATTGCTCTAGTTTTGATGGGCAGAATGTTCATTGTTGGTAGCACTCTCTTCCAGGTCCCAAAACCAGCTTTGGAAGAGAGGTTAACATGGATTATATCAGCATAAAACAGTCCATCACAGTAGCTTAACTGTAATAGTAACAACAATAACAACATCATAGTGAGAGCTTTCAAATCGCGTGACATGTAAAAAAATTCAATGAATTTTGTACCTGTGCCCAGAGAATAGAAAATACAAATGTTACTAACAGAAGACTAAGTACAACTCATGCAGTTACTATTTTTTTTACCATGAACTCAAAACAGGAAATCATATATTAGTTATTTCAAACAACCACTATCTACAGCTGGCCTCTGGAGACCAAAAAGTATAGTTCCTTGAGAAACATCCTGAGAGATAAATATATTTCCTGACTCATGTTATTTAAGACTGGAGAAGAGAATGTGTACAGACATATCACTCTGTGTTTTGCAATACTTTTGACATGAAACACAACTGCATATATTCATAGTTCAAATCTTGGTTTTGGATACGGGGGAAGGAGGAGTTGAGATAAATATTGACTACTGCCAATAATTCTTTTGTGATCCCATATACTTGCATTTTATCAAAATACTTTGCTTATATCACATACTAGGTTTATTTTGGGGCCTGTTGTTTTCAAATTACATTATCCTCAGCCAGAAACAAGCACAATTTAGCAGTGCCCTGTTCTTAGAGTCCACAGAATACTAAACCACAATGCCATCCTGCTTGTAAATACAGAGATAATAACCCTCCAAGATATTTGGTGTGCATGGCAATAAACCTTGGCTTTTGAATGAAGAGCCAAAAGTATCCTAGGATGATAAACATTTCCAGTCTGACCCCCAATCCAGTGACATCTAGAGAAAAACTCTTGACTGCCTGGGTTCTGTTACGCACTAATTAGCAAATCACAATGCTAGCCAAATTGCAACTTTGCTACGTTTTCTCTCAAAGTGCATTTGCCAACTTCAGTGCAGACTCACGGAAGATCTTTCGAAATGTGTCCAAGGTGAGGGTTTTATTAAATCCTAGAGCCAGGGAAAAAAAATCTACAACTGGGTAAACTACAGAGACCAGATGTCACAACCAACAGAGTGAAGGTAAGTCCCCGTGTTGGTTTCAATTCCCCTAGGACACTGTGACAAGTCAGATGGAGGTTAACACAACGCATGTTTGGTTATGCATTGCCTGTCCACCTCCCCCCTTGCCTTCCCAAGGGTGCTGCAGCATCCCTCCCTGGACATCCTGAGGCTGCTCTTGTGCTTCTGCTTTCTCCAAGATGGGGGCTGATTGCAGGGGGCAAAGACACAGCCTGGTCCAGCCCAGGGATGCTTCAGCTCCTTGTGCTTCCTCTGGAACTCATCATGGCTTAGGGACGCAATGCTCTTTTTTTCTCCCCAGCCACCCGTTCTGCCTCCTCACTGAACCATTTCACTTGTCCTTCCCACTTACCACTGGGCTTGATTTATTCTTTCCAATCATTTGCACTACTGCAGCATCAGAGCACTGCTCTTTGAGGACAAGAATTTCTACCCGGAATAATGGTAAAAGTGTCAGCCAGACCACAGGTCTCTTCTCAAAAGTGCCTCTATCCTCTTCACTTTCAGTGGAGGCAGCCTGTAAAGGATGGGTAGGCGGGGGAGGGTGAGGGGGTGGAGTGGGGGGAAGAGGAAAACAGCAACCAGAAGACCCCATCTCTGAAGATACGCTGTCACCTGCAATATTCTTGTGCATCAGCTTTGCCTCTCACTCGTGACTGATTTGCAAAATTAAAGTAGAAAATCTGGCAAATATACTCTGGCTTACCACGGACATTATCAAGTGGACCATAGTTTCAGCATATTTCAACAACAGTCATTTTAATTTCAACATTTTTATAATCATTAGCAGGTTTTTGATTTTTAGGTCTACTCCACACAAGTCTTGCTTGGTTTGGGCCTAGCAAGTATATACTTGCAATAGTATACTAGGCATTTTCCTGCCATTTTCTTCCATCTTATATACTGCTTATAGTATAAGGACATCTTTTATCCATTTTGTATATCTATCTAAATACAGTATTCAGAACAAGAAATTCAACCATTTGTAGCCAAAAAAAGAGAAAATGCTAAGTTTGCTTCAAACCTATTTTAAGCCTGTGCCAGAATAAGAGGGTCTCTTATGCATTAAAAGGGTGCCAATTATTGAAACATCTAGGTTCAAAGTACTGTATATTCCAGGCTGGAAAGATTCAGTATCTGTTGCTGCCTTCAGGCAATGAACTTTGATAATTTAAGAAACTTGAAATAAAGAAAACTAATTCACTATCTGGATTTTAATAGCTTTTGGTGACAGACTTCTACTTTGTGACCTAACGATCCCAGTAAGAGATTAGTCAGGCAAGTAAAAATCCACTTCCCAACTTCTGTCTGTAAATGGCACTTTCTTTACAGTCAAATAAACAGACTGTGTGGAACAAAAGAAGCCAGATGCAAGCCTAAAGCTTCTGAGGAGGGCCCTTCTGAAGAATTCAAAAGCCGCAGTTCCTCCCTGCTGACTGGGTAGGGGGCATGGGCACCCTGGTTTAAAAAGGACAGCTTCATTGAACAGAGTAAGAGTAGCTCCCAACATAAAGCTTCAGACAAGAAAAGTTAGAAAAAATCCTTAACAGGATAAAAGGAAGCATAACCAATAAACTCCAGTATCTCTCTGCATGATATTTTTTTTCTGTGAATTCTTGTATTTCACCAATTGCATTACTGCAGTGTATACCACAAGAGCTGCAGTGTAAGAGTATGGCTGCTTTTATACTTCTGCACCATTTTCTTGCTCCTAGTAGGACAAAAAATAATACATGTTCTGACTGTGCACCTTTAAGCCTGAACGTGTGGGAATTCTTCTGTAACTATAAATGACATGTCTAATGATGGCTATAATGCCTTCTGTTTGCTGCCGTTGAAGTACAAGCTGAAGCAAGTTTATTAAAGTAATAGCTCATATTGGGTACACCCAGTTCATAATTGTTTTGATTTTGTAGGCTAAGCTCACAGCTTAAAGTGAGCAAGCAGAGAATGTCTTTTGGGTAATCATTTAATATCATAATAGTTGTCTGATTGTAACCCCTTATTCAGATTAATTAGTATAACAAAAAAAAAAGTTTAATTGGATGAGAAAAGATGAAATCAGATTTCATGTTTTGATTACTTGGTTTGTGAAATAAGTTTATAAACATTTAATAAAACATGCTAAAAATATTATTACTCTGCATTTTGTGTCCTAAGTGTCATGATAAATGTGTCATTGTGTTTTCAGTCTAAAAGGCAAAATTGAATTTTCAATCATTTTATACTATGTTGTAAAGGTGATGTCCCAATTTAAGATGGCAATATATGCCAGAATACCATAATCATACTGACTCGGTTATGCCATCTCATCTCTCATTAAAACATCCAACCAATCAGAGGCATTTGCTGCTGCAGTGTGCTGGGTTCAGCCAGG